GTTTCTTCATTTACAACAATCCTTGAAGCTCAAGTTTGTGAAAAGTCCCAAGACGCCGCCTGGCCCATGGAGCAAGCACCTCAGTGCTGGCTCCTGACTCAAGCAGTTCTGGGAGAGACAGCTCTCAGCCAGACCCCGAGCCAGGAGTTGAGCTGAGGGTTAGCTACGTGCAGTAGCCAGCTCCTTAGGACACCCACTGTCCCTCCCCAGAACCCCAGACAAGCGTCACAGACAGATGCCATGTGCAGGATTCACATTTATTGGTTCAAATACAGTACCTAACAGTTGCTAAACATGCATTTCACACTAATTGGTCACATTTCCACAGGTAGTCAATTCACAGAAAAGGACCCATCCCTGACCAGCTGGCAGGGTGGGAGGTAGCAGAGGGCCTGGGTAGCCTGCAGAGCCCGTCAACTATCATTTGGTCATGCAGGGTTGATGGAGCCAGGCTGGCAGGCAGCCCTTTGGGGACAAGGGCACAGAGACATCCCATTCACTCGATTCCTGCACAGGACTGTGGGTAGAGGTGAACCTAGGGCAGCCCAGGGCTAGGCTCATGAGCCCCTGAAGGTGGTGTTCGTGGGAAGCGGTGCTCCCTGTGCCTTGGATCATAAGGAAATGGAGGCCTCTTCAAGGGGGTGGCTAGTCCCGGCTGGGCAGGTGGGGAGGACTCCCCAGACACAGCGCAGACATTACAATGCAGCCACAGTCCCTATCGCAGGCCTGGGATGGCAACACAGACAAAAACACCAACGCCCAGGGCAGGCGGGGCTCCCCCCCCACAGAAACATGTAAACAGAGCAGGAGCTACAGTGTTCTTTTCCCACAGGAGCCCTCAGAGAGGAATCGACCAGGATGTCACTGATGAGGTAGTTTTTTTTTTTTTTTTTTCTTTTTCATGGTAATTTGAGCAACACACCATCACCTATCATAGGACATTGCAGAGAAAGAAAACAAAGGTCGCCAAAGGGCGAGAGTGTCCCTTGGGCTGGCAGGGCTAGCTCCGGGACCTGGAAGACCAGCCTCCACCAGTAACAACTTTTTTCTTGGGCTTGGGGCAAGCTCTGGGCTGACTCACAGCTTCCCGTTGAACCTACAGTTGATTCCTGAGCAGACTGAGGCCCAGTTAGGGCTGCAGGTCCAGAAGAGGGAGGCCAGCTAGGGACTGGAGTGGGCGGCGCAACCAGGCCACGTTAGGAGGCAGCAGAGAGAGGGCCGCCGCGGCGCACCGCTGCACAAGTCAGACGTCAAGTCTCAAGGCGGCCCAGGTGCCGTCAGAGGAAGCACGGCTTGCTCAGACACAGCAGCTCTCGGGGGCTCTGGCTCTGAGAAAATAGTCCACCTCTGGCTCCCAAGCCCAGAAAAGAAGCTGTTGCTTATGGCAGCCGAGAGAGGGGTTTCTGGGGACCCTGTAATTAAATACACATCCCTGAGCTGTGGCCCTAGAAACCCTAGCCTCAAGGCGAACCAGCTTCCAGCACCCGGTGGAAGGACGGCCGCTTCTCACCCCGAGACACAGATAAAACGTCATTTCACAGACACTGGACAGACGCTTCAAGCCAAGGAACACGGGAGGAATAACCCACTGCAAAGGCAGACGAGAGGGGAGAGAGCGGGGAGACTTCCATGGATCAAGTTGGGGAAATAACAGTAGTGGTTTATTTATTTATTTTTTGTTTTGTGGTTTTTTTTTTTTGTGGTTTTTTTTTTTCTTTAAACAAATCAATAAAGAAAAATTCAAAGTTTAGTAAAAGGGCTATTCTGAAGGACTGATTTCTTAAACTGCAAAATTTAAAAAAGCAACTAGGAAAAAAGAGACAGACAGGAAGCCCAGAGCTGAAGACGTGGAGCCACTGCTCAGCTTCCTGACCTAAGGGGAGGCCAGGGACCCAGAACCTTGGCCATGGTTTAAGATGTTGCCCAGGCTTGGTCTGTCTGTCTCCATCTGTCCCACCCCCCAGGAAATCACGAACAAACTGATTTTAAGGACTGGTGGTAGCACTGGCCATGGCAGGCACTCCCTTCCCTGAGAAGGGGCAGCAGGTAAGAGGCAGGTCGGTGTGGAGCGGGTGACTTTCAGTGATGCCACAGAGACCCCAATGTTCCCCTTCTATCCTCCTCCACTCAGTTCTGGGGGACAGGACAGGAAGGTTCTTGCCTGGGCTGGAGGCTTGGTACGCCCTCTCAGCTAGGTGAAGTGCACCGATACAGGTTATGGAGGGTTTCCCCAGACGAAGGGCAAGACCACCAAACCTTGTGAAAAGACTCCGAAAGTCTATAAAGGCGTCAGGGAGCATGAGTTATAGGTGAAATTCCGAGATTCCAAACTGTTGTCTTGGATCCAGGAACCGTTCAGAAGGAAAGGGAGGGGAAAGCTTGCACGGTTCAGCGTCGTGCAAGGAGGTGGGATTCTCCATTTCCACACAGCTTTCAGAGTCAGGTTTTTAAATGAGTGCTGCTGGTGGCAGGGGAATCAGAGACGACAGAATCAAGAGAGGAATTAAGAGACAACATGCATAACTTTTTCTTCTTCCACTAGCAAAAAGGCTACCTGTTAACCAAACATTATGGGAAGAAAGGAGAAAAACAAACACACCAAACCTCCCCCTCCAACCTTTCTCTGTGTCCTTCAAACCAAATTCACAAATACATCTAGTGGCTGACCTAATGTCTCCACGCTGCTAGCTACACTCCTACCTTTTCCTCATAATACCTGAGTTTGCAATGCAACACATTCACTTTACCCTGTTTAAAAAAAGCCCACGTCATAAAAGGACTGGGTGCAGAAGACATTAAAGGCGGTCCACAGGTCAGGCTCCAGCTCAGAAAACACGGCCACTTGGCTCAGAGACTCTGCAGGGCTCTCAGCAATGAATGGGCTCTTTGTTCTGTGGAATCTGCTGCAAACATTTGTAAAAATGGATTTGTACAATGGCAACTTGCAGAACCTTTCCTCCACCACACAAATTAACAACTTGCTCTGTTTAATGCTGCATTATTGGAGAGACATGTTCTTGCCTCACCAGAGAGCAGTTTCCTTTGATACCAAACACGCTGGGTAAAATGCTTAATTTAAGAGAAAAGCAATTTCAGGAAATAATCATTTGATAGAGGGAGGTCTCAGCAAAGAAAGATGCTGCAGATAGGAGCCATCTTGGAAAATGGGTCTCTTGATATGTCCTCTTTCTCTCTCTCTCTCTCTCTCTCTCTCTCTCTCTCTCTCTCTCGAAGTAGCTCAGAGTCTGACCTGTAGCCAAAGAATGTGATCTAGTTGGTTAAAAATGGAAATTCAGAAAGACAAGAAAAATACTGTGGACTTAGAAATAAGCAGAAAAACACATACACACAAAATCTTCGCACTGACATGTGGAAAACATCCTAATCAGAGCTTTTCCTGAGAAATATGTCTCTCTTTTTATCCTTCTCAGAGCAGCTGGGTAAATGATGTTGAAGAGGAAAGCTCTGAGTTTCAGATCCAGCAAGGGACAAAGTTATCACTCTGTTGGTACCCGTAACATTTCACCGGAAAGAAAAAACTTACAACCCAACATAATACCCAGTATGCACACAAGATGGCAGCCCCCTGGGTAAGTGTGCTAGGCTGAGCTGGGGAGAGAGCAAACGGCCTTTGACCAAACAGGCAAAAACAGGTGCTGTAGGCTCCTCAAGCCCGCCCGGGGATGCCCTCAGAAATGTGGGCTGTCGGCTGCACTGGCCGTGGGTGGTGTCTGGGTGCAGGCAGGGAAAACTGCTGCAGTATAAAGCAGGGAAAGGGAAAGCACCTAAAGAGAGACTCGGTGAGGCCGCTGGCCAAAGCCAAGAGGGTGAGGAACACTTCCTGGGACTAGGCGGGGCAGGTAGTGAAAGAACAAGGGGTCCGGGCCTTTTCTGCAGAGGAAGCAGCCAGGTCCTTAGGAGCACGAGGTAGTTTAAAGCCCCCCTTCCCTTCCAGGTGCTTTGGACTCCAGCCCTCTGGGTCTTGGTCAGTCAGGTCTACAGGGCAGCTGGGTGACTGTGGGCCCTGGGCTTTCTGTTCTGAGAAGAGTGGTCTCGCTTTGGAAAGATTAGGACAACGTCAAGTAGAACGCAGAGGCAGAAATTCTAGTCATCAGACGGGAGAATGGTCCTTCCCATTGTCTGAAAAAGAGACATAGTTTTTAGATTTAGTTCTAGAGGAAGGACGGGCTTGGCGTGGTGGGGGAACGGGGAACTCAAAGGAAGATAGATTGTTCTTTAACAGTCTGCCCTCGTCCCACTACCCTCTGAAGAAAGCAAGGTAAAAAGAGAATAAATTAGTCGTGGGGCACCAGGACTCAGCAGGACATTCTGTTCAGTTGCTTTGCCAATAGGAAGTCAAGTTTGTAAGGGAGAGGGGAGGAGCCTGAGGAAAGCAGGCCCTGGTAGACCCAGGTAAGGAAATGAGGTAGCCGTGAGGCCCACGGGAGCATGCGGGAAAGCCCCAAGGACTAGCTTCTTGCCAGGACTGTGCCTGGATGAAAAGCTGACCGTGGCAGAGTGTGGCAGTGGTAGTGCGGATGGTGGCAGTGGGCGAAGCAGCAGGGTGTGAGCCCAGAAACCCTTCTCCTTAAGGACTTGTTTTGGAGGGAGGAAACAACTTAGAATTGGTCACTGTGCCCCACTCTCAACTTTCGTATTTTCCAAAGAAGAGAGATGCGAGTCCTCATCTCCTGCCCTGTTCCCAACACCTCACCCACTTTGTCGTAAACCTCCTACCACCACCTCGCCCCTTTACAATGTGCTCTTTTACCTGGCAATTCTGTGGCTTAAAAAAAGGCAGTTTGCTCTCTGACAGACAAATTTATGAGTCTGCTGAGAACATGTGGAAAAAGCAGGGATGGTCACACCCCTCTCTCTTTCCACTGAGGTAGTCGTCTTTATCAACATTATGGAAATAGTCATCTCAGCCCCATCCCACCCTCTCCCTCAAAATACAAAAGACCTATCTCTAAACAATGACAACACTGTGACATTAAACATCTTCACATTCTGTAAACTGCAAGGAAATGCATCGGCTGCATTCACACAAAAGCATGTGCATCATGTTGAAGGCCATACATTCAACTCTGTCGTGAAATAAATATATAGAAAAATGAGGTTAAAAAAACAGACAAACAAACAAAAAACTCTTCTTGATATGGAAGCATCTGGAAACGCGGCTCCACAGCCTCCATCTTGGTCTCTCTGGCTCTTTCCTCCGGAGCCTGTCCTGCCCACCCAAGGCATTGTGGAGGCCTGAGGAGGGATCCTGGGAACAGGTCATTCTTTGCCCACACTTGTCTTGCAGGAATGCAGCACCACCTTAAAGAGGAGGGGGAGCTGTTCCAGGGGTACATTCACCATCTTTCCTGGGAAGGTGGGAAAAAAAGAGTTAGCAGTGGCCATGAGTGGAAAAGCACAACTGCCCCTTCTCTTGGGCCAATGAAGGGAGAATGTCGCCTTTTTGAGGGACCGGGGCAACAGAGTGCCTTGAGGGTCACACATGTCAGCTAGAAAAGACTGGGGATCAGGTCATTGGCCCATTTTGGTGCCTGGAGAGTTTGGCAATGGCAAAAGCCATGCTACAGTTACTGACTTCCTTTTATTTTGGAGAGGACCTGATTAATTTCTCACTTGGTAGAACTCTTGAAAATGGTGAAGCATAAAGACCCAAATACCCCTAAAATCCCAATAGTTTAGGTCCTGTTCACATCTGCTAGGCTACTCTGTGGCCCAAAAAGTAGAAAAAAATTCTGTCAGACTGAAAATTTTTTTCTTCAAAATTGTAATTTGCTGAATTTTACAGGAACAAGCTCAACCTACAGGTCACATGTCTGAGTGGTTCCTCAGTATATGCTGAATAACTGCAAACAAGAATCTTTACCAGATGGAGCAAAGCAATAATAATAGAAGCCAGGATTTTATATTGAAACACTTATTGTTATTTTTTTGATATCCTCCATTTTCCCAATACTGTAAAAACTTATTTTGTATACCTGAACCCTGAGCACTTTACCTAAAGCATATTCTTTAAAATATTCTGTCAAATGTTCTTCTTCTTCTTTTTTTTTTTTTTTAATAGAGGCATGCTTTATTTATTTGTTTGCTGGTTTTGTTTGTTTGTTTTGTTTATACAAGCACTGGGTACAGTCAGAAGCACGGGAGGGTGAGAGAATTCACCAGAGCCAGAGTGGGGAACAGAGCAGGCAGAAGGACCGAAGTACACTGCTGAGGGGAGCAGCGGGCGGCAGGAGAGGTCTGCGCGCCATGTGGGACCCTCCTCCGGTGGCCAGGGAGCAGCCGGGGATTGAACCGGCGCCGCAGAGGCCGCGGGCAGCTTCGCAACCCAGCGCTCAACCGCTGCGCCACCAGGGAGGCCCTCTGTCAAATGTTCTTGACAGAAAAAACTATCAATCCATATGAATGAAAATCCTATGGAAACAGGCATTCTGGATAAATGGAATTTACTGGGGAAAAAATTAGAATATTCAAAGCAGGCCCCAGCTTCTTGGATATTGTAGGAAGCTTGGATATTGTGGAAGCAAGACCACAAAAATAACAAAAATTCCTTTGCAAAATAGGACTTTTGAGAATGATTTTGAAGATACCATTTAAATAAATTGTCCCTGAAAACCTATCGGTGATTTTATGAAATGAAATTAAAATTTAAAACTGATATCAAATTATTAACATAGCATAAAATTCACCCTTTTAAAGAATATAATTCAGAAAATAAAGTTAATTTGAAAAACTCTGAGACTGTTTCCCCATGCACAGCATGGCCATGGTATTACCAGAGGCTATTCTGAGGTTAGATGATGTAGGCCACAAAGTAACCTACACATCATAGGAATTCAGGAAACAGTACATCGCTTCCTTACAAAGGAAATGCAAACACATTGTGTAGCTTTTCTGAGGAGAAGGGCAGCTCCTCTTATACAGTTGGTGACAGACCTAGAATGAGCAGCCTGGAAACACTGCTTGCTTCATTCCCTTCACAAACTAAGAGGAAACAAAAAAGGTTATAAAAGACCAGAAGCCATAATATTACCTGCAATATACCGAATCTCAGGTAAGCACATCATGAGATCAGGAAAGCGGTTTGGCTGATGAGTATATTTGTATTCAGTGAAATCCTGGCAAATGTACCAATATCGCTTGTTCAACTGCTCCAGCTGTGAGGCGCTGGTCAGACCTCTGATATCTGTGGAAAAAAAAAAAAAAAAAAAAAAAACCCACAGGAAATGGAAGCAATTTTCTAATGTGGAAGAAACATCAACTCCTTGAATATGTGCATCTTTCAATTAAAAGTTATTAAACATTGTCACAAAAAGAGAGCTCTTTTCTTTCTGACACAGAGGAACAAAGCTCTGGATAAGAGAAGAAAAATAAGATAAAAAGGAAAAAACTGTAAAGGACAGTAACTAAACTGCGCCCCTTAAGGGCTAGGCTGTATCTTTCTCAACTTCACAGCTTACTCCCAGCTCAGGGCTTGTTACAAAACAGACACCACTGGATGCTGAACAATAGACTGAGTAATCTACCTTTCTCAACTTGGCCTTCATAATATTCTTAAATTGCCCTCTGCTGGAGCCAATCAGAAAGTGTGCTGATACCTACACATCCATGTACACACACACACACACACACACGTCTCCTGTGTGTGTCTGCTCATGTTGTTCTACCTGACTTGTCACTACAGTTTTCCCCTACATTACATATTTTTCTTACTTACACACACACACACACACACACACACACACACAGAAAATAAATAATCTATATATAAATCTTACCCAGTCTTTGAGGCATAGCTCAGATTTCTCTTCCTTCAAGTAGATAACTCTCCCTATCTGAGGCTCAAGTAGTGCCATCAGACTTTAAACTTCCTGAGGTCAGGGGCCTGAGGTCTAACTTATTTCAATGTCTTTAATGCTCAACGCAGGGCCTCGTCTAGGTGAGGCACACAGAACACCACATAAATGCTCGAATGGTGAGAAACAGGAGGAGGTGGGAGGGGGCAGGGAGTGGGCAAAGAGAAGGGGATCAAGACTCACTAGGCTAATTAACTGAAAATGGGAAGAGAGCACTTTCAATCTCAAAGGCAGCAAAACAGCCCAATTATACTCTGAGAGCAGAACACTACTGTGGAAAAAGAAGATAAAAATTCATACTCTGGTTACCAGCAGCTAACAAGTACCACTTTGCAGGTAACACTGTACATAAACCAAACCTAACACTCGTCTAATGAAAAACCATGATTAACATGCACGTATTGTGTTTTTGCACACCCCCACTCTGCCCCAAAGTGGCTGTCAGAACTACCACCAGCCTGTCACAGAGGCCTTATCTCCAATAGTTTCATCACCCTGCTCTTCTTCAGTTGCTGGTAAACTTGGTACATATTTTAAATGACGCATGTACTGTCCTTGGTGTCTGCGTTTAAATGCATTAAAACTGACTAAACAAAGTGAATCCTCTTCCTTCCTCTATGAGTTATAGAGTCTGTGGCATTTAGGTTTGAAGAAAAAATCCAAAGCTTTCCCCGCAATATAGAGGAGCAGGGTGATGAGGAAGAGAGCACAGGACCGCCAAGATGGATACCCATGGCACGGCAGATTACGTGTGGCGGGCCTGAAGGTATGGGTGGCGAGGACATGAAGGCAAATACTTGCGGCACTCTTGGCCACTCACCTTGATTCAGGAAGTTAATTGCTTTCATGCAAGCATACTCCTCATTGCTGACCTTCAGCTGATGGAACTTGTGATACAGGTATATGAGCCGCTCGATCACCTCCATCCCTTCATCGCTGAATCTGGAGAACAGACACAGGCGTTACCAGTGGGCTCTGATACCAGAGGAGAGAAGGCAGAGGTCTTCCACAGGTCTTTAAAGGTGTCTAAAACAGGAAAGAGGCTGAGCCTGGGGGAAATGGATCCATGATTTTTCTGAAGTCCAAGATAGTTCATACAGGAAGTTCATACAAACTTCTGTTCCCAAGGTCATGTGGGGTCAATCAAATCCAAAGTTCAGATCGCATGTAAGCTATGAAACCTTGGGAAAGTCACTCTGCTCTTTGAGCTTTGCAGGTCTCATCTGTAAAATAGCAACACTTGTCTGCCTGGGCGAACAAGAGACAAAGAAAGTTTGGAACTGTAAATATGGAGAAATATGACACTATTAGTATATTACTATTATTGTTGTTATAATGAAGCCTTTACTGTCAATGGCAACTGCTATGGTTGACTCTATGTAAAGGTTCTGACACAATGTAGAGAACGCTGCTGATTCTATTTAAGTTCACTGTTTCCAGCAGGGCTGAGATTATTATGCACAGTGAAAATTTTTACAGGCAGCCCTGAGTCTGCTAGGGAGGGAAGGAAATATTAATGAAAACTCCATGCCATGTGAGTGTCTTTCTTTCTTTCTTTTTTTAAAAAAAGATTTATATATTCGTAGAAGGCTGGGGTGTAGGCCAGAGATACAGGGGTGAGAGGATTCACTAGACAGAGTGGGGGTCGGAACAGGTGGATCTACTGAAATACACTGCTGAGGGGAGCAGCGGGCAAGTCAGGAGAGGCCTGCTGCCACGAGGGAGGCCCACCATGTGAGTTTCTGTGCTGCACGATTCATGTGCATTATCTTATTTAATTTTCTCAACCCCTAAGATTACCATTACTCACGACAAACTGTAGTTTAAAGAATGGAAGAGGGTGGCCTCCCTGGGGCACAAGGGGTTAAGATGCAACCTATGAAGCTACCCCCAGTCACTGTAGCACAAGTTCGATCCCTGGCCAGGGAGCTACCCACATGGTGCAGCAGACCTCTCCTGTCTTGCCCGCTGCTCCCCTAAGCAGTGAACTTGGGTCGATCTGCCTGTTCTGTTCCCCGCTCTGTCTCTGGTGAATCCTCTCACCCCATGCACCTCTGGCCTGTACCCCAGTTCTTGTACGCATAAATCAATCTTTAAAAAAAACAACAAGAAAGAATGGAAGGGAATGGTCCACAAGCACAGCTCAGCCGATGGCAGAAGTAGAAGTTGGAACTTTCACAAACTCTCCAAGGTTTGGGTGTTTCACTATTATTTTTTATTTATATATATATCTTACATCATTTTTCATTTTTGCACAATGTAAGCATTTTCATCTTGGTTATATTCCCCATACAATTGCACCCCCCCTTATTTTGACTCCAATCCCTCCTCTCCCCACCTGCCCCCCATACTGTGTCTCTGGTTTATAGTTGCTTGTTGATTTTGATTTTTTCTTTATTATAGTTATTCTTTTTCCTAGTCCCTAAGGTGGCACTCCCTAGCAGGGAAGACTCCTTGGGGAAAGACCAATTTTTTAAAAAAGATTTATTTAATTATGCATCCAAGAGCTGGTGTGTAGGCCAGAGGTGTGGAGAGGTGAGAGGATTCACCAGAGACAGAGTGGGGAGCAGAACAGGCAGACTGACTGAAATACACTGCTGAGGGGAGCAGCGGGCGAGCCAGGAGAGGTCTGCTGCGCCAAGTGGGTCAGCTCTCTGGCCGGGGACTAAACTCGCACTGCAGTGGCTGCTGATAGCTCCATAGTGCTGAGACATAACCCCCTGTGCCACCAGGAAGGCCTGAAAAGATCAAACTTTAAGGACCCCCAATTTACACTACCTCTGGAACAAATAATCTGGGTCACAGTGGGGAAATATCTCAGAATAGAGACAGCGATACCATCAAATCAAGGAGGCAAAGATTTGAAATTACAGGGAGAGCGAGTTTATAAAAGCAGGGGTCAGGTCAGTCTCTATTTCCCCTTCTAGGAAGGGCTGGGATTGTGGGTCAAAGAGAATTCCAGACAGGCCTTAGATGCACACCTCCGTCAGAGAAAATGATGTTTAGCCTCAGGGCTACATTCTGGTGACATGTTCAAATCTGGGCACTACAGACTGGTGCCAGGCAAGAAGGACCTATTGGGTAGTGCCCAGAACGCCTCAGCATGCACCGCCGCTGTCTGAGCTCTACTGCTTCTGCGTTGACTCTGAATGCTTTGCGAGGGCTTGGCTTTCTTGAGCAAGACATTTTCTCTTCTCTGGGGAAAAAGCCTCGCTCTAGTTGGGACTAAAGGTACCTGCATTTCTCAAGCACCAGGGGGAGCTGCAGCGGTGACTACATGCAAGACAGAGCCGGCTCTTTGCAATGAGGTTTAACTCCCAGTCAATCTGAGCTAGGGTTTCTTGCTTCCTTTTTATCTTTTTTTTTTTTTTAAAGATTTATTTATTTATTTTTACAAGCACTGGGTACAGTCAGAAGCGCGGGAGGGTGAGAGAATTCACCAGAGCCAGAGCAGGTAGCAGAGCAGGCAGAAGGACCGAAGTACACTGCTGAAGGGAGCAGCCGGCAGGGCAGGAGAGGTCTGCGTGCCTTGTGGGACCCTCCCCCGTTGGCCGGGGAGCAGCCAGGGAGTAGCCGGGGATCGAACCGGCGCTGCAGAGGCTGCAGGCTGTGCCACCGGGGAGGCCCTCCTTTTTATCTTTTTAACTAAATTTGTCAGTCATTTACATGTCTACATAATTTTGGAGTTACATTTTTACTTCTCTGTATGTGTACTCGCTTCACTCAGCTTCCACCAAGCCTTCCTCGTCAATACCCTATTCCCTACCTTCCCCATTCTCTGCTCCCTCCCAGTAAAATATTCATTAAATCTAAGAATTGCTTTTTCACTAAGTGAATTTTTCACTACGTCTACAAACTGTTTTTGCTGTACATTGCCAGTATATGCTTGCTGTTGTTGTTATAACCCACAGATGTTTCACACAGCATCAGCTCCAGACATGGAGCTTCTTTCATTCTGCTAATCTGAACGACGGCTACCTCCATTTCTCTCTGTGCCTGGCCCAATGGCTTTAGCAACTTTATTAATACTTTTCCAGACTGACTGACAAGTTTATATTGAATAAACACTATCATAGCCTTATCTAACATTTGTAGAGTATTTGTTACTTGCCAGGCACTTTGTTAAATACTTTATACACATTATTTCACTGGATATTCCTAGTAAGTGCACAAAATGGATATAATCCCCTTTGTTCACAAGTGGAAACAAAGGTTCCGAGAGTTATTCACTGTGTGCCGAGCACCCTTATATTTTACTGTCCCAACGTAATAGCACCTCCATATTAGGGATGAGGAAGGAGAAATGGTTTTACCAAAGTTACACAGTTAAGTAAGTGGTGGTCGGTTTTGACAATTTTTCTAATTCTAAGTGTCACTTTCATAACACTACCCTGTCCATTCCCAAACTGTGTGGTTCTTAACTGGGAGAGGCTACCACATGCTGCCTCAGGCAACCTCAGGAGCTCTGAGGAACGACTCCCGCAGGGCCTAACCGAGAGCATGAACTGCCCCTGCAGGCCTCCATGACCTGAGAGTTGCGGGAGGGAGTGTGCCTGGGAATGAAGACCTCATTCCAGAACCTTACTGGCTACTTCTGTTCTGGAAAGGAAATGGGTCTTTTTTTTTTTTTTAGGATTTATTTATGTATACAAGAGCTGGGGTACAAGTCAGAGGTGTGGGGGGTGAGAGGATTCACCAGAGACAGAGTGGGGAACAGAAAGGCAGAATGACTGAAATACACTGCTGAGGGGAGCAGCGGGCAAGTCAGGAGATGTCTGCTGCGCCACGTGGGCAGCTCCCTGGCCAGGGATCGAACTTGGGCTGCAGTGGCTGCAGATAGCTTCATAGGTTGCGTCTTAACCCCTTTCACCACCAGGGAGGCCCCAGAAAATGGGTCTTTATAAACAATCCCTTTAGCATATCTGTCTGGAGAGCCAGGATGGGGGCAGGACAGGGTATGGAAAAGGAGCACATGAGCAGAGCAGCAGGGTCGGCATCTGTCTGGTGGCAGAGCAGTGTAGCAAGCGAAGATAACACTCTCTCCCTTAATCAGCAACCTCTTGCCCCAAGCGCTCGCTCTGGCACTCAGAACCTGCAGGTGTGTGGCTATCAGCCAGACCCCTTGCCAGCAGTGCCAAACATATTCCTGGCTGAGGCTTCACCAGTGGGACACAAAGGAGCTACCAAGTGCCTGATCTGAGCATGTGCCCTGGATCATCCCCTTCTCTGGGGAGAACACAGGCCCTTTTTCCAAGCTTCATAGACAGGCAACCATCATGGACCCCTGGTAGGAGTGGGGGGCTGGCAGCCAGCCCAGCAGCCCCCACTCAGTCTCCACAGCCTGACTGCAAAGCTTTCCTCCACACCCCGCATCCCACCCTTTGATAAACAAATTGTTCTCTGTTCCATGGGCCTGCTTTCTACCTCAGCCGTGCCTCCTCCACCTCTGCCCACTCCACAGCTCCAACGCCCCTGTATTCTCTGTCTACAAATTATCAGCATTCAAAGCCAGAAAGCTGGACAAACACACCCATTCTTCTTTTAGGTTCCTATTACACAAGCATGCTGGGACAAGGAAAACATTCCTGCCAGTATCCCCCAAACCACTGGACCATTCAGTCAGCAATTGAAGCTGACACTATATAAGTTATGTCCATTAAGGGGGCTAAGAGTTGTCTTTTTTTCCATTCATCTAAATGCACCTACTCCCAGGAGCAGTCCGCAGCCATGTGAGAGGAAGAGGCATCTCAGCATGCACGTACAGCTCCAATCAAACATTTGAGAAAGCTAAAGAATTTAGCATAAGGTAATAGTGTCTGGGCTTTGGAGCACAACAGCCTTAGGGGGTAATCTCAACTCTATCTCTTTCTAGTTTTGTAGCCTTGCGTTTCATCTCTCTGAACCTCAAGTTCTTCATCTGCAGCATAGGGATAATAATACTGCGGGTCTCAGCGGATGCTGGTGAGGATTAAACAAAAAATGTTTGTAGAGCACTGGAGAGAATTTGGCACAATAAAATCTATAATTGTTAGCTATTATTAATAACTGCACCACCACCACCACCACCCTCATCATCACTCCATTATCACAGCAAAAATAAGACTGTACATGTTTCCCGAATCTTGCAGCTAGGGTCTGCATAGAAGTTGGGAGGCTACTTTCCAAAGAAGTGGCAGAAACGCTAACGCTCAGGAGCTAGAATTGCCCATTAAGGACCATCCAGTGCAAGGCTTCTTCTGAACGTGAAGGAGTCTTGATTAGGGCCAGGAGCAGTCACTGGCTGGTGCTACAATCTGCTTTAAATCAAATTCACCCAGCTCACTATGCGATAACACCCTGATTAAGGAAAATGGGCACCATAAATTTGATTTCAATATTTGAGAAGCGAAAAGGAGGCGAACATGTATCATGTGGGAAAAGTCTTTTCATGACAGCAGGAACTCACTGCACTTGAGAGTTGTGAAAAAGTAAAGGCATTTTGGGGGAGTGGGAGTAACACAGGAGCAGGCAAGGCAGGAAAGAACTACGGCCAATTACACACGGTACACCCTGGGCTTCCAGGAGAATGCAGACTGCTCTGCAGTGCTGAACGGGATCCCAGAGGTTCCCAAACTTCCATTTTCTGCGACCCCCTGGGCACTTCTACAAGTGTCTCACACATAAACTCAGAGTGGCTCACCTTCCACCCTTTGGGTGCCCGCTTGCTGGGCAGCATCCCTAACTTTCCTGCTCACTGACTTCACCTCCTTGACATCTTAACTCTGCTGCCCTCGCTATTCCCAGGGCTTGTCTCCTTTCACCCGGGCTATGGGACAAGGGACAGTACCATGCACCGTCCTCTGGTTGGGCCAAGCTGTCTTTCCTGAGCTTTACCACCACAGGGATCTTTTTGAAGTGCAACCTGACCATGTAATTGCTCTGCTTAAAAACACTCTATGACTTAACCCTATTCACACAACAAAATCCAAATTCCTTAGATTGGACCGGCATTCAAGGACCTCCAGGACCTGTCTTTTTCATACCTTTCTCTCTAGTCACTTCTCCGTTTCCCAGGTACATTACCTCTATGCCCTTGCCACAGAATTGCTTTTGGTTCCCTGCAAAGCCATCCAGACTCTCTAACATCTGGGACTTTGTATTAGTGCCTTATCTTCTTCTTGTTCTCTACCATCTACCAAGAAAAATCCCACTTTAGATACAGCTCTTACAGTCCCTTACCCTGGCAAGCATTCCAAGGAGCCGTACGCGTGCTCATCAGTCCGCGCTTGCACCGCCCCTCACATGCCCTCAACCTCCACCAATGTCACAGCCTGCACTGTAGATTGTGTCTGTTTTGATTTGCCTCTCAATCCACTAAAGCAATAATATGGCCTCTCAGAGTCAGAAACCATAAACCCTGTCTGCATCATCTGTGATCCCAGCACTCTCCCCACAACACACATAGTAAGTGCTCAGTAAGTGGGCATGGAATCAGAACTAACAAGTTGAAGTTGTTAGTTTTTCCAGGGAAGGATTCCATATAGGAGTAAGAGTCCTCACACCAAATCTATTTCCTATCCTCAGAACCCACTTGAAAGCTCAGCAGCAATATTTATTCTGGAGTCAGCAGTGTTCAACAGAACTTCCGTGATAATGGAAATGTCCTATAGCTGCACTGTCCATACAATAGCCACTAGGCAAAGGTAGCTACTGAGCACCTAAAATATGGCTAGTGCAAATAAGGAACTGAACCTCTAATATTAACTAATTTAAATTTAAAAAGCCACCCCAGGTTAATGGGCACTATCCTGTACAATAGAGTTCTAGCTTCTCCTTGGCAAGGAAACTTCCTAGACAATAAAAATGATATAATTCAGCTACCAACTCTTGCCTGGCTTTTGGAGCTCAAGGGTTTGGCAACAGTGGGGTGGGGGTGAGTTATGAAGTTCAATGTCACAGAAAGCCCTACACAGTAAGTCAGCCCTGCCTACCTGCAGAGGATAAATTCATCATCTACAGGAGTTGAGTCCACAGACTGATTGTATGGCCAAGTCTGGGCTACATGAGTGGATCCCAGCAGGAACTGAGGCCAGGCTCAATGAGCAAGCTCTGAAAACTATGACAATATTAGAGAGAGCTGACTGCTATCTAAACACTTAGTGGGCCCAGAGTTACAGAGCAGGAGATAGGAATTTAATGGAAACAATGAATTAATGGCTCTAGAGAAGGGGTTAGGTCATCTGCAAAATCAGATAGCTCTGTTTACAGGACAAAGTGTCAACTGGGTTCAAAACTCCGTCATTTACAGATCACACCGAAGCCAGTAAGCATCATTAGAGTAAGGAAATATCAGAAATCCAGTGCCCAGAATCCTCCCTCATTCAGCTGTACAAAGAGCCCTTGAGGGTCTCCCCAGTGCTATGTAGAAATGTGGGAGGAGACTGATAACTCACTTTCTGCAACTTTTATCAATGGGGGCACCTTTTCTTTCCTCTTTCTTGGTGCTCTGGAATCTGATGACGTCTGTATTTTAAATTGTCCAATAAAGGTGATTTATTATAATGTCTATTTAAATGTGATTTAAACTTTATTTAAACTTTAAAATTTATATCAACGGTCATTTGTCCTGATTTTGGGATGTCACCAATGTGCTCCAGGTCTTCAAGGTTAAATGACCTGCTGTAGAAAGGGAGGTTAGGATGACACTGGCCAGCTGTGATGAGACTTTATCCCAGAAAATAGTGAGAACAGCTCACTCTCTTAGTCTCATACTCATACCACTTCCCTGCATCTCAAATGCAGTGAAAGAGCTGAATCTTTGCAGTTAGGCCAGATATAGATTCAAATCCAGACTCTGGGTTCAAAGCCCAAACTCTAAAGGATAGATTTTCTGACCTTCAGTTTCCTCATCTATAAAATAGGTGTAATACTACCTCAAGCTGAAGGCTGAGAAAGAAAGAAAATACCAAATCAGTGCCTGGCACACAGCAGATACAATAACTCCTAGGTCTATTTCTGGATTGGAAAGTACAGCACTAAGTCCCTTACCTTATGGACAACCTTAGGGTTTTTGCTTTTCCCACTGTTGCCGTACCTCAGTAATTCAGAAGTGATAAAAATAACAGCTTAGCATTCTGTTAAGCCTTGCTGCACAGTAACATTTATTGCTCAGAATACCTACCTTGTTGGGAGGTACTATTATGATCCCATTTTATAAATTCAGAATCTAAGCTCAGAGACTTGACTAAGGTTACAAAGCTAGTCAGTGGTAAAGATTCAAATCTAGCCCTGTGTGTCTTTAACACTCAGGCAACTATCTTGCGGGGATGACAGTGGGTTGGTTGCCTGGAACTTCTTCCTCAATCAGCAGCACTTACCTGTGCAGTTCTTCATCAGAGGGTGAATACTTGGCGGTGACATCAGCCAGCTCCCCAAAGATCTGCTTACTATAAACAGTGAGGGAGGACAGAAGGATTAACTCCTGCCAGGTAGAGCTCAGGAGGCATGTGTAATCCTTGATTGAGAGCTCACAGAAAAAAGGCAGTTTCTTGATCCAGGCAATCTGCCTAAAGAGCAGCTCATCGGCCAGGCGGCAAAGTAAGGCAAACAGTTCTGCTTGGGTCACAGCATATCTGAGGGGTAAGAGCAGGGGAAAGTCACTTGCATTGGCTAGTAGTGAGGATGGCGACACAGGAAGAGGGTATTCCTAAAGGCATTTAGGAATAAATACCCTAAAGGGTATTCCTTGCCTTTGATCATGGCTCTCTAGCTCTAATCACTTCAGTCTAATGACAAAGGGCAGGACTGGGGCCAGCAGCAAGCTCAGGGCTAGAGAAGTGTGTTTCGCGAGAAAACGTTGCTGAGAGAAAAGGAGACTTAGACATTTGTGTAATTATCAGGGAGTATGGGTTATTTTAATACTGATGCCCACCAATGTTCCTTGTCTTAGAGAAAATCCCCAATCATATGCACCAGTTTTAGTAGTGACTGCTCCAAAAGTGTAGATCTGGTACCTACCCAATACAGACACCGGCATAAAATGAGGCTCAAGGTCTGCCAGAGAACAGAGTACGTTGTGAACTTTTCCTGCTCTCACTGCACCCTCTGGTGGTGACAGAACCAGAACTAGAGTAGATCAGCCCCGGTACTCCTAGATGTAAGGGTAGGATTTCTCATCCCTGGGCAGGATGATTTTCTTCTCAAGGTCCCTTGGTGTGATCCTTCCCCACTCCCCACACTGCTGTGCCAGACTAATAAAGATTTTGTGTGTCCTTACTGTAGGTAGAGATTTCAATTTCCTCTTGAAAAATTGGAGAATAAGTTTAAAATAATCTCAGGGTATCTTTTTTTTTTTTTTTTTTTTTGGGAGGGAGAGGGTTGGGATCTATCCTGGGTAACACTCAAAACAACTTATGTTCCAGGTCAAAGGAGTAACTGGTGCAGCAACAGGCTGAACTATTATTTACTCAGGTAGAGCCATCAGAGGATTGAAAAGTATTCCTTCTACCCACTTGAGGCCCACACACAGGAGTCACATGGCACCAGGTACCCGTGACAGACAGGCTGTAACCAGTTAGGGCTTTGAGTGCTTTGTTAAAGCGCCTCGACTTGACATGATTATTCCCATACTTAAAGCTCGTCTCTGGCACAGAAGTTTTCAGACCCATCCCAGGGCCTGGTTTACATAGGCCCAAGCAGAAACAAAGGCCCTTTAATTCCAATTTCATAGAGATTGACAAATAGCCTCAATTCTATAAGAAAAGATGCTCAACAGAAAAATGAGGTCCCACTGACATCAAAGATAAGTACAACTTGGTCCTCTGATGCCTCTCATTTTGAAATCTGGTGTTCAGCAGCCCAGGATTCAGGTAGGAATGGGGTAGGGAACATCTTGAGGCTGTAAGGGGCAAAATGGGGCAGGGCTCACTCACCCATCTTCAATCAGCATAGGTGTGCCCAAAGGCTCCAGGTCCTCAGCTGACACCAGCTGATGAATCAGACTGTATGACTGGGGATCCAGGCTGCGAGCTTGTGGGGGCAGAAGTGGTGAGTGGGCAGAATAGCTAAAAAGGTGTGGTATATACTGATAGTGTGGAGGCACAGACATCCCCATGTACTGCTCCCTGAATGCCATGAATCCATTTAGTTCCACAGACCTACTGGAGAGAAAAATCACATGTCAAGCAGAATCAGGTCAGGTCTATTGCCTACTCAAAGGAAATGAGCCAGAAGGTGGCTCAAGTGTTCTTTGGCCATGGAGTCTGTCTTCATCAAGTCAGTGCCTGATTTAATGGCTATATGCATGTCTCCCTTATTAGACAGACTCTGTAAGCATATGTATATGTGGCTTACCACTGGATACCTGGCAGAATAGGTACTGAAAAAAAGGTTGAGGGAGCGCGAGTACAATGGCTGAGATGGAGTGGTAGAATACTTAGCCCAGAGCTCCCTTGGGGTCCACTCTTTGGGTGATTCTAGATGAAGCTCACCTGGAAGACAGGGTTGAGCCTGGTGAAGGCTGGTTGCTCTCTGAAGCCCTGTTCCCAGGGGAACTGTGGTCGCTGTCACCATGGTTGCTCCAGTGATTGGCCTCTTCCTCAAATTCCTGCCCAGACATGATCCTTTCGATCTCTTCCTCTGATATCTTTGACAAGGAATTGATAGATGTTAGATCAGGTGTACAGGATACCTTCTGTTTCTTCTTCAGGACTAAAAACTTATTTAAACCTAATAGGATTGGGCCTCCCCGGTGGCGCAGCGGTTGAGCGCTGGGTTGCGAAGCTGCCCGCGGCCTCTGCAGCGCCGGTTCCATCCCCGGCTGCTCCCCGGCCACCAGAGGAGGGTCCCACATGGCGCGCAGACCTCTCCTGCCGCCCGCTGCTCCCCTCAGCAGTGTACTTCGGTCCTTCTGCCTGCTCTGCTCCCCGCTCTGGCTCTGGTGAATTCTCTCACCCTCCTGCACTTCTGACTGTACCCAGTGCATGTATAAACAAAACAAACGAATAAATAAATAAAAACACATGCCTCTCTAAAAAATAAATAAATAAATAAATAAACCTAATAGGATTCCCAGAAGTCTCCAAAGATGAACCCAGACTCCCTCCTACCCACCCCCATACTCTGGGTCTCTCACTAACCTTAGCACAACTCGGCTGCTTGCCTTTCAGCATCATGGCTAATCGTGACCTTTCTCTTGTTCATGTGCTCTACTCTCAGGCCACAAACCCGCTAGGTTCTTCAATGGGCCACTCAGTCTTTGAGTCAATTCTTCCCCACCCCTGAAACAACACTCTTCAATAACATACTCTTATTTGCTCTTTTAAGACTCAATTCAAAAACCACCTTAGTGAATCGTTATTATCACTCCTAGAAATTAAGGTCCTCTTTCTAGCCACTCATAATTCTGCATTCTGCGTGAGGCAGAACAGCATAATGGTTGAGAGTATGAGTTTCAGAGCAGGACCACCTTTGTTCTAATCCAGGTTCTGCCACCATGTAGCTGTACAATCTTGGGCAATTCATTTAACTATATGAACCTTAACTTTTATGGTGGAGAGAATAATATAATAGTTTTTATCTCACAGGACACTGAGGATTAAATTAGTTAATACATTATCACATGTTTAGAAAAGGCCCTGACATGCAACAATTTTACAAGAGAGGTGGCATTGCCTCTTGTCAATGATACCTTAATTATCATTGTTATTTTTGTAGCACTTATGATATTATATCATAAAAATATCCTCTATAAGACCTAAGGCTATGATAGGGACTAAAAAAACAATGAGTACCCAAAAAATGCATGTTGTATAAATGAACAAATATTCACTTAAGTAGTGAACATGATTTTCTTAGTAAGAAAGACATTTCTAAGCCTACTGAACTAAAGAAGAAATTGTAGCTCAGGGGCCTCCCTGGTGGCACAAGGGCTTAAGACACAACCTATGAAGCAATCTGCAGCCACGGCAGCACGAGTTTGATCCCCAGCCAGGGAGCCACCCATATGGCGCAGCAGACCTCTCCTGACCCACCCACTGCTCCCCTCAGCAGTATATTTCAGTCAATCTGCCTGTTCTGTTCCCCACCCTGTCTCTGGTGAATCCTCTCACCCTCCCACGCCTCTGGCCTGTACCCCAGTTCTTGTATGCATAAATAAATAAATTTTTTTTTTTTTAAAAAAAAAAAAGCTTTAAAAAAAGAAATTATAGCTCAGGCAAGTGAATCGACTTGCTCAAGATCACACTATGTGCCATGTCTGGGCAGGAATCTGAGGAAGAATATCCAAGTATTTAGAGTTCAGTACTCTAGCTTACTATACCATAAAAGGAGTGAATAAATACTTATTTTGAGAAGTCTTTAACCCAAAGTTGAAGCTTAACTGGCTAACTTCAGTACACAGAATGAGAATGAATGCTAAGATGAAGCGCCAAGTGAATTTTTATTTCTTGTTCCTAAGGAAAGACTGAAAGGACATCATCTTCCAAGTCTATACGACTCAAATCTGTATACTTCTTTATTCCAGCAGCCTGTGAGGAAACTTGAGTTGCTATGATCATAAATATAGAAGGCATTTAGAATTGGGAACCCGTCAGTACATAGGAATTTGGAGGGAAAACAAGAAACGTTTACAGGTACATAAGTTGCGTGGTCTTAAACAACTTGGATCACACATTGACTTGGGGAGGTAGTCTTTATTTAGTCACAGGTAGCAAAAACAGTAAGAACACAAATCTTTTCTTAGAAGTGCTTAGAACACTGAAGTCATTGTTACATTTTGTAACACATGTGAACACAAATGAAGTCATTAAACTGAAGTTCTGACTGAGGCAGCCTCAGTGATGGTGATTAGACTAAGACTAGACCTTGGAGAGCAGGAAGGTACTTCAGCTGGGTGAAAAGGGCCAATCTTGGTAAAGTCAGTTTGTTACCACTGGAGCCAGCTGTGACACTGCACCTGTTTCTGCCTGTCAGTAGAGGTTGGAATAGGGAATAGAGCAAGTCAGGAGAGCTTAGATCTGGTTCAACACTTACCTGTCACTGCTAGCTGGCTCTAGGGCAAGTCACTCAAGCTACTCAGTGAGCAAGTCACTTAAATGAGAAATAAAAGGCATCTAAATCGGAAAGGAAGAAGTAAAATTCTTTATTTGCAGATCACATGATCTTACAGATGGAAACCTCCTAAAGATTCCAAAGGGAAAAAAAATGTTACTGTCAGGCAAGTCACTCAAGTTTTCTGAGTTTCACCTCCCTCCCTCATCTGTAAAAAAGGAGGCAATGCCACCTCTCTTGTAGTGCAAGGTTTCCTACAGTATGCTGGAGCAAAGAAGTATGCAGATTTGAGATTTGGGAGGTTAATCTAAGATATAGTTATAACATGCAAAATGTACCCCAGGTGAATATTCTAGCTCATATTTTTATTATTAAAAATATAGTGGGGGGCCCCCCGGTGGCGCAGAGGTTGAGCGCTGGGTTGCAAAGCTGTCCGCGGCCTCTGTGGCGCCGGTTCGATCCCCGGCTGCTCCCCGGCCACCACTGGAGGAGGATCCCACATGGTGCGCAGACCTCTCCTGCCACCCGCTGCTCCCCTCAGCAGTGTGCTTCAGTCCTTCTGCCTGCTCTGCTCCCCACTCTGGCTCTGGTGAATTCTCTCACCCTCCCGCGCTTCTGACTGTACCCAGTGCATGTATAAACAAAACAAACAAACAAACATAATAAATAAATAAATAAAAACATGGCTCTATTAAAAAAAAAAAAAAAGTGTTAAAAAAAAAAAATAAAAATACAGTGGGCCTCCCTGGTGGCGAAAGGGTTAAGACACAACCTATGAAGCTATCCGCGGCCACTCCAGCATGAGTTTGATTCCCGGCCAGCCAGGGAGCAACCCACATGGCACAGCAAACCTCTCCTGGCTCACCCGCTGCTCCCCTCAGCAGTGTACTTTGGTCAATCTGCCTGTTCTGTTCCCCACTCTGTCTCTAGTGAATCCTCTCACCACCCCGTGCCGCTGGCCTGTACCACAGCTCTTGTATGCATAAATAAATAAATCTTTAAAAAAAATAGTTAAAAAGTTGGAGATCATAGCTTTCTCCAACACACCACTAAGAAACAATAGAAGACTAAAAAGAAAATTAAAAAGCCCAGTATTAAAAAATCAAATGAAGATGAAGTATGTTTCTCTGAGCATCAGCTCTAGAGAGAACATGGAGTCTGGAGCAGACAGAGAACCACATAGCACTCAAAAAACATTAGGTACCACTAAGGAAGGTTTTTCATGAGGAAATGCTAAAGAAATCTTCCCAGTGGATTAACTTTTAACTGCATCTAAATATAAAAAGAACGACTACCAATAAAAATCTTTATATGAAAAGCCCACAGCTTTCATGTATTTCATATTTTTCACTTTCAATGGTGAAAACTGAAAGCTTTTCCTGTAAGATTAGGATCAGGACAAGGCTGCCCAATCCTACCACTTCTAGTCAACCTAATACTGGAAGCCCAGCAAGGCCATAGGCAAGAAAAAGAAATAAAAGGCATCTTAAGCAGAAAGGAAGAAGTAAAATTATATTTATTTGCAGATTATATATATATATATATATATGTACACACACATATATAAACCCCTAAATATAATAATCTCATTTACAATAGTATCAAAAAGAAAAATATACTTAGGAATAAATTCAACTAGTAAGGTGAAATACTTGTACATTGCTGAAACACTGCTCAAAAAAATTAAAGACATAAATAATGGAAAGACATATCTATGTTTGTAAGTTAAGATATACTGTAAAAATGTCCATACTACCGAAAATGACCTACAAATTCAATGCAATCCCTAAAAAAATTCTAATGGCTATTTTTTTTTTTGTAGAAAGAGAAAAAATGCTAAAATTCACACGGAGTCACAAAGAACCTAAAATAGCCAAAACAATCCTGAGAAACAACAACAGTTGGAGGCCTTACACTTCCTGATTTCAGAACATAACACAAAACTACATACAAAACAGTATGGTACTGTCAAAAGGGCAGACATGCAAGACATGCAGACCAATGGAACAGAATAGAGAATCCCCAAATAAACCCACTCATGTATGGTTCAAAAGATCCTTGACAAAGATGCCAACACTACACAATGGGGAAAGAATGGTTTCTTCAACAAAAGGTACTGGGAAAGCTGTCTCTCCATGTGCAAAAGAATGCGATTAAACTCATACCATACACAAAACTCAACTCCTAATGGATTAAAGACTTAAATGTGATTACATAAATGGTAAGTTTCTGCAAAGCAAAGGCAACAAACAACACAGTGAACAGGTAACTTACAGAATAAAATATCTGTAAATCAATCTATCAGTGCAAACTTCAGCTTCTTTAGGAAGCCTTCCCTGAGTGTCTTAAGTCCCTAATCATGGCTCTAGTCCAAACAGAAAAGAAGCCATGCTTCCTTGTATACTCTCTGGACATCCTCTGTTAGCACTGACTGTATGATGATGTCTGTTTACATGTCAGTTTACACGAGTTCACAGTACAGGGTCTGGCAATAACTACTTAGTCAATGCTTGTGGGATTGAATGAGTACGTTCTGTTGAAATATCTTGAGATGCATTTAACAGCAAAGGAATCTTGCAGATTTCTGCCAGGCTAAGTTATCTACAACCTTAAGTGACATAAAAAATCCTCTGGCTGGCTTATAACTAGGATTGGGTTCATTTCCTGTGAAATCCTTAGGAATGGTGAGGGATTACAAGAAGAGTTTTTAATAGTTACCCTAAGTATTTAAGATTTTCAAACCACTTTTATATCCAGACATATGCAGTTTTATAGAAATTAAAGCAAAAATGGTTCCTCCTCTCAACAGCAGGAGATGGTCAGGTGAGCAGCTACAGGAGATGTGGATCCTGGGTTTCTAGAGTGGATCACCGACTGAGACTTAGAACTCACCTGGACTGGCCCAATGCTCTTATTCCTGCCTCCAGGCATGCCATCTTCTCTGATTGCTGTAAGGAAACATAAGCCAAGATAGTCAGTGGAATGCCCACAGAAGTCGAGCCACAAAAAGACAACTTACTTGGCCAAAATCACAAGATAGTAACTGATGAAGCCAACATTAAAAGATAAGTCTTTCTGGACCCAATGCATACTCCAGGCTACCTCATAGGCAGCAGAGTGCCCCAATCATTGGATGCACACTAGCCACACTGTACATATTCAACACACTCAACAAAGGTATAGCATTATTGATAGTCTCATAGTCACAAATATCTCACCAGAATGATGCATCTAAAGGTTTTGATAAATTCAAAGGGTGGGGACAGAAAGGATATTCTTTTTAAAAAAAAATTATTTATTTATGAATACAAGAACTGGGGTACAGGTCAGAGGTGTGTGTGGCGGGGGTGGGGTGGGGGTGAGAGGATTCACCAGAGACAGAGTGGGCAACAGAACAGGCAGATCTACTGAAATACACTGCTGAGGGGAGCAGTGGGCGAGTCAGGAAGAGGTCTGCAGCGCCATGTGGATCACCTCCCTGGCTGGCGACAGAACTCGTGTTGCAGTGGCTGTGGACAGCCTCATAGGTTGTATCCTAACCCCCTGTGCCACCAGGGAGGCCCGGATATTCTCATTTTTAAAGAAAAATTTTTATTTCCAGTATAAGTTTGTGTTTAATTTAGACGATAAGGAAACAGATTTTTTTGTTTTGTTTTTTAATTAATCCAAATTTTGACCTTATTGGTTCTTTCCTACAATGACAGTCAGCGGAGTTCCTTTGCAATTCATTTCCCACCCAGGTGATTCTACAAGAAGAAGACGTCATTAAGCAATTTCTACTATAAAGAGCACTCTTTAAATAGTGCCAGCCTCATTAAGAATAACAATTAATAGGGCCTCCCCGGTGGTGCAGCGGGTTAAGCGCCATATGGTGAAGCTGTCCACAGCCTCTGCAGCACGGGTTTGATCCTGGCCGGCCAGGGAGAATCCCATGTGTGTGCAGCAGACCTCTCCTGTCGCGCCCGCTGCTCCCCTCAGCAGTGTATTTCGGTCTTCTGCCTGTTCTGCTCCCCTGCTCTGTCTCTGGTGAATCCTCTCACCCTCCCACGCCTCTGGCCTGTACCCCAGCTCTTGTATAAAAATAAATCAAATCTCAAAAAGCACTCTTTAAATAGTGCCAGCCTCATTAAGAATAACAACTAGGGCCTCCCCTGTGGGCAGCGGTTGAGCATTGGGTTACAGGGGGCGAGGGTCCCACATGGCGCGCAGACCTCTCCTGCGGCGCCCACTGCTCCCCTCAGCAGTGTACTTCGGTCCTTCTGCCTGTTCTGCTCTCCACTCTGGCTCTGGTGAATTCTCTCACCCTCCTGCGCTTCTGACTGTACCCAGTGCTTGTATAAATAAATAAATCTTAAAAAAAAAAAATAACAACTTATCCCTGGTGGCCATGGGATAAGTCTCAGTGCTATCATCACTATGGCCTTAGTTCGATCCCCAGCCAGGGAGCTGACCCAACATATGGCGCAGCAGACCTCTGTGTCTTGCGCGCTTACCCCCTTAGCAGTGTATGTCAGTAGATCTGCCTGTTCTGCTCCCCACTCTGTCACTGGTGAATCCTCCTACCTTCCCTCCCCTCTCAGCCCTGTACCTCTGGCCTCTGGCCCGGTTCCTCTGTTTAAAAAAAAAAAAAAAATAGGAAAAAAGAAAAGGATAAGAGCTAATACTATTACCATCAAATGTTTATGGAACACAGAGAGGGAATTCTTGATTTGCAATTAGATAAAGTTTTGATGTCTGGCAAAGCTTTCTGGAATAGACAATTTCTGGATTGAGTCTTAAAGGATGCGAAGGAGTGATACAGAGAAAGGGTGCTCCAGGTTGAGTGAACAATGTATAGGAAAGCTTCAAGTTGAAAGTAAGCATGCAGTGTTCTTTCTGGGAATTTCTAAGTGGTTTAATCTAGCTGAAGCATGGGGCAGGGTGTCTGAGGCAAGAGAAGAGATTGGAGAGGTCCACTGAAGCCAAATCTTAGAGAGCTGTGAATGCCAGGTGAGGAGAATGGACCTTCATATGGCAGTCTGGGAGCAAGGGGGGATGCAGGAGAGGGACAGGTTGGCTTTTCTGTACTGTTTTTGTGGCGGGTGCTTGGAGGGGGTAGCAGTGACAGAGGACAAGCCAACGGCACTACGTGAGAGCAAGCTTCACTATAACATAGAGAAGTAATATACAGAAATAATATCAGATAGGTTCTTGGAAACTGCAACTTGTTAAGCAAAACAATGTGTAACAGAACCAAGTTTACCAAAGGCTAAGTGGTACAGAGAAGCACTCGGCTCCTATGAGGTGGTTCTGGCCACAAAAACATCACCAAACATCTAAAGATGCAAACAAATAACTTCTAATATTAAACAATATTTTGTATTCATTCATTCATATTCCAACCTGCTTATTCCAGTTTAGCATTGTGGATAGCCAGAGTCGGTGCAGGATGCAAAGTGGAAAGAAGATGCCCTTCTACTGCAGCGCACACTCACGCACCCTGTACTCAACTCAGATATGCCAATTAACCTAACATTGTATCTCTGGGATGGGGGGAGGCACCCAAATACAGACATGGGGAGAATATGCAAACTCCACACAGACAGTGGGGAAGATGCTTTTCCCCTCTTGTCAGTGTTACAGCTGATGCTGAATGCAGTGACATTATTAGAGCACCTGCTCTACCAGTTTTAAAAAAAAATTTAACATGAAGACTCTAGAAAGTCCTTGGGTCAGGGTGGGTTGTTTCAAAAGGTGAGGGCACCAAGCATACATAACATTCTGTTCCCATGGGTCACTTCCCTTGAAGCAGACATCATTCTTGGTATTCTCAGAAGATTGTACATTCAGAATCTGACAGGATTGGATCTAAACCCTGTCTCTGCCTTATAGACAAGTGTTTTCACTTCTCTGAACCTAAGTTTATGAAAAATAAAGAGGGTCTACTGGAACCTGTCTTATGGGGTATTGTAAAGATTATATATAAAATAATATAGCTAAGGCACCAAGCACAGGGTCTGGTATACAATGTAAAATCTCAGCAATGAATCCTTTCCTCTTCCAACCTCTTTTGTCCAAATACAAGACTGAGAAAACCCAGGTCCTATTTTCAACTGTGTTAGAACCTTTATATCCTCACCTGTGAAATGGAGGCAAGAGTCTGCTGCTATAAGGCTGCTGTGTGAATGAGTAGTGAGAAACAGCCTATGGCGGAGCTAGATGTGTGCTGGTGGTTGTCCGGGAGCTTTCTTTTGACCTAATTTTAAGTTTCAAAAATTCCTTCTTTGCTCTTTCAGGGTCAATGACAGTTTTCAGACACTGAGTTTCAATATTGAAACCTCACGTGTCTCTACCCTGGTTCTCAGGTACAGAACAAAGATTTAACACTGGGAGACACGGAATATATTTCACTTGATCTCACTCTCACTGTCTTGGAGGTAAGGAAAAAACTCAACATGTTTTCCATTTTGTCTTTTAAAAGGCTACAAATCTTAAAAAGATTTACATCTTGCCAATTTCATGTGCTGGTATTTCAAAACTCATGGTGTCTCCCAACTGCACTTGTAGTAAGGACACTCATATATGATGGATATTGACTTCTGTGTTAGGTATTATCTTGGGTAAAATAAATCCAGCAGTAGTAGCATCACTCCCATTGGACTGACTGACCTAAGACTCAGAGCAATGAAGTATTTTGCTTAAGGTAACAGACACTGAAGAACAGAGTAAGGACTGAAAACTAGACTGACTCTCTACTACTGGTGTTTTTCATAGTCTGTGTACATCTCATAGGAGAAACAATTTTAGGTGGTGCTTTGCTTAAATTCTTAATTTAACATTTATCCTAAGGTGCACAAAAAAATACCACTTTTTTCACCTCCCTGGTGGCACAAGGGGTTAAGCATCAGCACTATGAAGCCATCCGCAGCTACTGTAGCAAGAGTTCAATCCCAGGCCAGGGAGCTGACCCACATGGCCCGCTGCTCCCCTCAGCAGTATATATCGTCAGTCTGCCTGTTCTGCTCCTCACTTTGTTTCTGGTGAATCCTCTCACCCACCTTGCACCTTTGCTTATACCCCAGCTCTTGTATGCATAAATAAATCAATCTTTAAAAAAAACACCACTTTTCTAGGCCTCTCCTGGTGGCGCAGGCGGTTGAGCGCTGCGCTGTGAAGCTGCCCGCAGCCTCTGCAGCACCAGTTTGATCCCGGCCGGCGAGGGTCCCACATGGCGCAGCAGACCTCTTCTGTCTCACCCGCTGCTCCCCTCAGCAGTGTATTTTGGTCAGTCTGCCTGGTCTGTTCCCCGCTCTGTCTCTGGTGAATCCTCTCACCCTCTTGCGTATCTGGCCTGTACCCCAGGGTTCTTATATAAATAAATAAATCTTTAAAAAAAAAAAAAAAAACAAAAAACCACTTTTCTCACTCAGCAAGGTGATAAAAAATCCCCTTTGAAAATTAACTGAGGGCCTCCCCGGTGGCTCAGCGGTTGAGCGCTGGGTTGCGAAGCTGCCCGCGGCCTCTGCGGCGCCAGTTCGATCCCCAGCTGCTCCCCGGCCACTGGAGGAGGGTCCCACATGGAGCGCAGACCTCTCCTGCCGCCCACTGCTCCCCTCAGCAGTGTACTTCGGTCCTTCTGCCTGCTCTGCTCCCCGCTCTGGCTCTGGTGAATTCTCTCACCCTCCTGCGCTTCTGACTGTACCCAGCGCATGTATAAACAAAACAAACAAACAAAAATAAATAAATCAATAAATATGCTTCTATTAAAAAAAAATTAAAAAAAAAAACTGATTTTTTTATAAGTTGATTTAAAAGAATATAAAAGAAATCATTGTACTGGCTTAGTCAGAGATGTCAAAATCTGTCAAGACTGCATGAAACTGCCAGAAGTGAGAGAAACGAAGCAATGTATCACAGAGCTCATGGTAAACAGAAACTTGGATCATATTTGAAAGCTTTTAATGTACTT